TCCTCCTCCTCTCCTCTTCCTCCTGCTCGTCCTCGTTCTCGTCCTCCTCGTCTTGCTCGTCCTCCTCCTCCTGGTGCTCTCTCCTCCTCCTCCTCCTCCTCCTCCTCCTCCTCCTGGTGGTCCTCGTTCTCCTCCTCCTGGTGCTCTCCCCCCCCCTCCTCCTCCTCGTCCTCCTCCTCCTCCTCCTCCTCGTCCTCCTCCTCCTCTTCCTCCTCCTCCTCCTCCTCCTCCTCCTCCTGGTAGTCCTCCCCCTCCCCTCCTCCTCCTCCTCCTCCTCTTCCTGGTCGTCCTCGTTCTCGTCCTCCTCGTCTTGCTCGTCCTCCTCCTCCTGGTGTTCTCTCCTCCTCCTCCTCCTCCTCCTCCTCCTCCTCCTCCTGGTGGTCCTCGTTCTCCTCCTCCTGGTACTCTCCCCCCCCTCCTCCTCCTCCTCGTCCTCGTCCTCCTCCTCCTCCTCCTCCTCTTCCTCCTCCTCCTCCTCCTCCTCCTCCTCCTCCTCCTCCTCCTGGTACTCCTCCCCCTCCCCTCCTCCTCCTCCTCCTCCTCTCCTCCTGGTCGTCCTCCTCCTCCTGGTCGTCCTCCTCCTCCTGCTCGTCCTCCTTCTCCTCCTGCTCGTCCTTCTTCTCCTGCTCCTCCTGCTCCTCGTCCTGCTCCTGCTCGTCCTCGTCCTCCTGGTCTTGCTCGTCCTCCTCCTCGTCGTGCTCTTGCCCCTGCTGAAAATGTGGCCCAGGAATGGGAGTTCTGGGAAGTCGAAGAGCACGAAGTTGCCTACAGTTGGCTACGGGCATTCAAAATGTGGCCCGGGAATGGAGTTCTGGGAACTCGAAGAGCACGAAGTGGCCTACAGTTGGCTCCGGGCATTCAAAATGTGGCCCGGGAATGGAGTTCTGGGAACTCGAAGAGCACGAAGTGGCCTACAGTTGGCTCCGGGCATCCAAAATGTGGCCCGGGAATGGAGTTCTGGAACTCGAAGAGCACGAAGTGTGTGACTGTTGCATCCGGTCCTCCAGAATGTGGCCCGGGAATGGCGTTCTGGGATGTCGAAGAGCACGAAGTGTGTGACTGTTGCATCTGGTTATTCTAAATGTGGCCCGGGAATGGCGTTCTGGGATCTCGAAGAGCACGAAGTGTGTGACTGTTGCATCCGGGTATTCAGAATGTGGCCTGGGAATGGAGTTCTGGGAAGTCGAAGAGCACGAAGTGTGTGACTGTTGGTGAAAAACGAGCCCGGCACCCTGCCGCCCGGCAACTCCCCAACACCTGCCCGGACCCCCCTGTGGAGTGATCTGTGAGCTCTTTTGAGTCAACTAGAAACCTATCAGTCTACGCTGTTAGGTAACATTCGCAGGTATCCAGCGAAATCAGGGTGGCAGCCACACGTAGCAACAAATTGGTGGTGCCGTACGACGAGAAAAGGCAAGCCTCCTCCCCCTCCTCTTCCTCCTCCTCCTCCTCCTCACTATCATCCTCCTCCACCCCTTGTCATTACCAACAAACTTCCGTGTCGCACCCTCAGACGTGTCAGTAGGGCGGGCCGTGCGTTGTGCGTGAGGCTTGGGGCTGTTCGTTTTCAAAGTGTGGCTCTCGCCGCAGCGCCGCACACATTTTTTGATCTGCGGGGCGAGAGCGAACCTCTTCCGCTAAAAGCTAGGCGGGCTACGCACAGCTTTAATTAGGGAGACAGGAATCGCAGCGCCGCACACATGCGTTTAAAAACAGCAACAGGTTCGTTGGTGGAGGGCCGCTCTTGTTCAAAATCTGGCTCTCGCGCTAGCGCCGCGCGCACTCGTTGAAACAGATTGCAAGTATCTCACGGATGGAAGCGGGTCGTTTTCAAAAGATGATTCTCGCCTAAGCCTCGCGGTCATTCGTTTTTAACATTTCGCATCAGGCTCACTGATTGAAAGCGGCTCCTTTCCAAAAAGTGGTCCCCGCCTCAGCGCCGCGCACATTCGTCTTTAAAGTCTGCAACAGCTTCAAGGATGGAGGGAGGTTCTTTCCAAATGTTTCAAAATGTGGCTCTCGCCTAAGCGCCGCGCACATTCGTCTTGAAAGTTCGCGACCGTTTCAAGGACTCGTATGGTTGAAGTCCCAGGAACGGTGATCTAGCACGGATTAGACCTGTCAGGACTCAACAGTCATTTTGATTCGTGGTGTTGATATTGAAGTGTCAATAAATATGTTCTGGCACGGTTTAGGATTGTCAGGACGCAACAACCATGTTGATCCGCGGCGCTGAAATCCCAGAAATGGTGTTCTGGCACGACTGGAGATTCTGAGACCGTGGTCTTGAAATGGGCCAGTTCCGCAATGAACAGACATGATTCGAGTGACATCCGAAGAAGGAACATCGCTGATGCGCCCTGGGTTTACACTGGTCCTCCTCCTCCTCCTCCTCACGGAGGGCCTCCTCCCCGCGGAAGGGGAGGCGCGGAGAGGGGAAGGGGAGCAGCGGAGGGCGAGGGAGGAGAGGGGAGGGGAGGGGAGGGGAGGGCGGCGGAGGGAGGCAGGGGGAGGGAAAGGAGGCGGATGGGGAGGGCCCCGTCTCCTGGGGTAGGGCGTCGCTGGAGCGGGCCTGCCTTGGGAGCTATGCCGGGCCCCTCGCCCCCAGCGCCGCTCGTCGCCCAGGGCCGATCGCTGCGGACGGGGCGGGCGGCGGGCGTCGCAGCGACACGCCAGTGGTGGCGGCGGCGCCCATGCCGGCAGCGCGACAGCGGCATCGCCAGCATGGGCGCCATCGGTTGCAGCGTCGCGGAAGGCGGCGGGAGTTTGCGGGCGCCTCCCCGCCAGAAAGGCACTGGCGTCGCTCTCGGCGCCTTGGAAGCCAGCGTGGCTCAGACGTCCCGCGGTTCCCACGGGCTCGCGCTGCTGGCGGGATGGGGCAGGGCGCAATCAGCCACTATCTGATTCTTATCGCAGCCGTGGCCACCGTTGCAGCCCTCCAATCGTCCGCGTTCTCTAACTAGGTTATAGATGTGATATCCGTAAGGGCTTTGCCCCCTGCCGCTGGCCCCCTCTCTACCAGAATGGGGCATGCCAGAGCTATGCTGGAATTCCTCGGCGCCGTAGCGAAAAAATGTCGGAACCTCATGCGAGGGCGATGGGAAAGCGGTGGATTCAGATTCAGAAAATATGGTTGAAGTCCGTATTGCTTTTCTCGAGTTCTCCTTCGGGGACTGTTTGAGGCTACGATAGGCAACATCGCGTGGCTTGGGCTGCCCTCTTGAGATGCCTCTTGAAGCCTGTTGGGGCCGAAAGCTCGAATGTTCGTTCGTGGTCCCGTTTTGGACCCCTCTTGGGGCCATCTTCACGAGTTCTTGGGCCGTCTGGAGTGCCTCTTGGGCTGTCCTGGTGCCCTCTGGGACAGTCTTGGGGCCCTCCTGGAGGCTTATTGGGCCGTCGTGGGGCGGTCTTGGCCTGGACGACGCGAACACCGCATAGTTTATGGCGTCGGGGACGCAACCATTACGTAATTTGCGCGTGTGTATGGCCTCGGGGACGCGAATATCACGTAATTTACGAAAGTTGATGGCGTCGGGGTGTATGGCCTGGGGACGCAAATATCGCGTCATGTACCAGGGATTATGGCGTCGGGCACGCGAATACCGCGTAGTTTACAAAGGTTTATGGCCTCAGGGACGCGAACATGGCGTAATTTACTAGGGATCACGGCTTCGGGGACGCGAATCTTTCAAGTATCTTTTCGTGTCCCACGCCCCCCTGGGAATTCTGAGAACCCTCCCAGGGCGTGGTAAAAAATCCCGTTTGGGGCTCCCACCCCTCGCGCGGACAGCAACAATTTAAAGTAAGGAAGCAGAAAGCAGAACTAAAACAGTGGAAACTGGAAATTGCAATTGGAACAGGGAGCTGCAATCTTCACCCTCGCAGCCTGGTGGCCCCGCAAGGGGGCTGGCGGATATGAATACCGCTTTGCACACGTGCATACCTATACGACCACCCTTCGGTGATAAGGAGGTTCGGGGGATGGAAAAGAACCAAGTGCTGGCAATTGCGATGGGTGTAATGATGACGATGCTGGTGGTGCGCCCTCGACTTGGCCCTCGATCCCACAGTCGATCTCAGAATCGATCTCGCAATCGATCGCACTATCGATCGATCTGGCTGTCGATCTCACCCGATCGATCTCATTATCGGTTTCAAATTCGAACTCTGAAGCGGCCTCAATCGCTCCCACAATCGAGAGAACAATCGATCCGACTATCGATCTCACTGTCGATCTCGAATCGATCTCACTATCGACCTCGTTATCGATTGCACTATCGAAGAAACTATCGATCTCACTATCGATGTCACTGCCGCTCGCACGATCGATGCAACTACCGATCTCACTATCGACCACAATATCGATCCAACTATCGATCTCACTACCGAACTCACTACATCTCGATCGTTATCGATACCACTATCGAAAGCACTGTCGATTGGGACACCACCGCGGGACACCATGGCGGGACACCATTGGACGCCACGGGACACCGCGGGACACCATTGGGACACCGCGGGACACCACGGGACAGCACTGGACACCACGAGACACCATCGGGACACCACGGCGGGACACCATCGGGGCAACGCGGGGCACCACGGCGGGACATTCTCACACTCTCAGCCACCGCCCGCCCACCAGAGCGCCGGACTTTTGCATCCGAATCGCCGTAGCGACGGCGGGATCATTCTTCTCGCGCGCCCACGGCGAGACACCGTGGGACACCATCGGGACACCGCGAGACACCACGGCGGGACACCCTCAGCCACCGCCCGCTGACCAGAGGGCCGGACTTTTGCATCCGAGTCTCGCGCGCCCACGCAGCATCGCCCCGCCCACACGCACGACACGAACACGAAACCGACGCTGATTTCCCCGTGGGGGGCTCTCCGTTCCACTGCAATCTCACCCCCAATCACCGATGTTCATGCATATACACATATGCACGTATGTGTATGTACGTGTATGTGTGTATGTGTGTATCCCCCTCTATCAGGGCAGTCGCCGGCGATCATTCACACCGATGACGAAGACTTGGTGAGCCTGACGGAACTGAAGCACCTGGTCGACTCCTTGGACGGTGGCCCGGGCTCGAGCTTAACCCTCCTTCTCCCCCAGCAGTCTCTCTGCCGCTGGTGCGCCGCCCCTTGGAGTTCGGGGAGGAGAGGTGGAGGGATGCGCGGGGGTGGGGCGGGGAGGCAGGAGCGTCGAAGGAGAAAAAGCGGAGGAGGAGACAGTCCAGGGGGTCGGGGGGAGAAGTGCAGGGAAAGGACTTCGGCGCGATTCTAAAGGCTGGGGCATGAGCCAGGAGGAGTACCCGCTACAGCCCTCTGCGCTTCGCAGAAAAGCAAGAGGCCTGTGACGGACCCCAGGCTCCTCACAGACGCAGCAAGGGACACACTGATCTAAATTGGACTTCCCCACGAACGCCTGGGTGCATTCGTTGCTGCGGAGCCTGGGCCCTGGAGGCTCTTCTCAAACACTCAGGAGGTGTTGATTCGTTTCTAATAAACTCGCCCAGGTCGCCCTCTATGGATCTTGTGCGTCCGCAGGGTTCAGGCGGTTGACACCATCGGTTCCCGCTTGTAGGTTCTTCCCTGTCTCCGCAAAGACTAGAGAACAGAGATCGGAGAGCCGAGTGTGGAGAGCGGAGTGTAGAGTCGAGAGCAGAGAGTAGATAGTGCAGAAAAAGGAGTAGACAGGGGAGAACAGGAGCGCAGAGTACAGAATAAAGAGAATTTGCCAAATTCGACAGCCAAGAGCAAAACAATAAGCGAACACATAACATATGAAGAACACAGAAGATATAGAGCAAGTAAGTACGTTGCAGGGACCTGAAAGTGTGTAGAGACAGGTGCGTGAAAGATGGCGGAGAGGCTAAAATTGTGGTAGAGACCAAAATACGATGGTTTGAGTCCGCACGCTGGCATCAGGTCAAGAAGTCTGCTGGTCGGGGTCGCTACTCTCTCATGCTTGACGCTCCCCGCTTATTCGCACGCGCTTGCCTCGGGAGCCTCCCCTGGCCACCCTCCATGGCCCAGGCCCTCCTTGGCAGCCGCCCCCCGCTCGCCCGATCCCCGGGGCTCCCAGTGCTCGGGTTGGAGGCTGCGATTGTCCACTGCATCCTCTGCAGCCGCCGACTCGAAGATCTTCAAGACTTCTGGCCGCCGAAGGGCGGCCTTGGATGCTCTGCACTGCTGTCCTCAACTGCCGAATGGAATTTCCGACAGCCGGCTCATGGGGCTTGGGACCTCTCGTGCTTTCTTCATCGGAAACATCATCAAGTGTAGCAGCATCATCCTGATCAGTATCAGCATCGTCATTGGCAACATGAGTATCACCATGATCATCATCATCAGCATCCTCAGCATCCGCATCATCATCATCATCATCAGCAGCATCATCATCATCATCACCACCAGTATCATCAGCAGCAGCATCATCGTTGTCATCGCCTTCATTACGGACATCACAATCTGACATCAGAATCATCAGCCGCAGCATCAGTAGCATCATCATCAGCTGTAGCAGCAGCAGCATCGTCGTCATCATCATCAGCAGCATCATCAGCATCATCAGCATCAGCATCATCATCGTCATCGTCGTCATCATCATCACCAATATCGTCGTCATCACCACCATACCACTATCATCAGCATCCTCATCACTGTTGACATTGATGGAACTGTGAATAGCAATACTAGTATCTTACTCATCATCGACATAATCGCCGCCATCTTCATATCCTCCATCCTCCCCCACCCCCTCTGACCTCCTCATCATCATCAGCAGCAGCAGCATCATCATCGTCATCATCATCATCCTTCCTCATCCGCCTCCTCCTTCTCCGCCTCCGTCTCCTCATCCGTCTCTTCATCCGTCTGCTACGCCTCCGTCTCCTCCCCCTCCTCCTCCTCCTCCTCCTCCTACTCCTCCTCCATATCCTCCTTCTCCTCCTCTCCAGAGCCCAGGCATCCGCAGCGGGACGGTCGATTTCTCGCTGCTGGTGGCTTCCACGCTGCCGCCAGAGGTGTTCAGAGGAGACCGCCCTCCCTCGGCAGGGGGCGCCGGGGAGTCCCGCCGCTCGGTTTCCACCGCCGCTCTCCCTCTCCTCCTCCTCCTCCTCCTCCTCCTTCTCCTCCTCCTCTTCCTCCTCCTCCTTCTCCTCCTTCTCACCTCCTCCTCCTCCTCCTCCATCTCCGCCTCCTCCTCCTCCTCCTCCTCCTCATCCTTCTCCTCCTCCTCCTCCTCCTCCTCCTCCTCCTCCTCCTCCTCCTCTTCTCCTCCTCATCCTCCTTCCTCTCCTCTCTTTCCTCCTCTCTCCCCCCTCCCTTGTCCTCTCTCTCTCTCTCTCTCTCTATATATATCTCCCCCCTCCCTTGATTCCTTCCTGCTTGTCCTCCTCCCTCCTCTCCATCCCTTCCTCTACCCCCTCCCTGCTCCCTCCTCCCCCCTCCTTTGCTTTTGCCCTGCTCCTCCTCCCTTATCCTCCCTCTCCCCCCATCCCCTCCCCTTCCCTCCTCCCTCCTCCCTCCCCTCCTCCCTCACCCTCCTCCCCCACCACCCTTGCCCACTCCGCCCCCCTTCGTGTGCACCTCCTTCCTACCCTTCTGGCGAGGGGACCAGTGACCAGGAAGCCGGCGATCACCCCGGGGCAGCCCGACGCGGCCGTATTGGCAGCAGCTCTTGGGGAGCCATTGCGGGCCCGCGCTGGACCAATCTGGGAGGTGTCCAGGGCCTTGTCGCCTTCGAGGGATTGAAGCCCAAACATGCTCGCGTCGTGCAAGAACACAGACAAACGAAAAAACAAACAACCAAACAAACAAACAAACAAAAACAAAAAAAAACAAAAACGAACAAAAAGCACACACACACACAGACACAAACGCACACACACACACACACTCACACAAAAAAACAAACAACAACAACAACAACAACAACAACAACAACAACAACAACAACAAAAGAAAAACAAAAACAACAAAAAAAAAAAAAAAACGACTGGCGGCTTTGGCCGTTGTGGGCTTCCGGAGGCCCTCGACAGGCCGCGGGGGCGTCAAAACATTGCACGGGTGAGCTCCGCTTTTCAGGAAAGGGCTGGAACATCCAGGGACCCCATGTTGAAAAAATCAAGGCGTCGGACCTCTTGGGAAGGAAGTGGGATCAGGGCACCCTGGCTTTCCCGACGTCTGAGCGCCAAGTTCGGGCCCCGGAGCCTTCGAGATCGATCCGGGGTGAGAAAAAGCGGCCAGGATGGACCCCACGAGGTTCAGGGATTGATCTTCAGCGGACTGCTGCGGTCGGGAGAAATCGCCTCGCTTTCGAGAGATGGAGAGGTAGTTAGGCCCGTTTGCGTCGGTGAAGGGCGGCGGAATCAGCGCTCCAGAGTGTCTGCAGCTAGCCAACTGGAGGCAGGAGGAGGACCGATGGTTCCAGGGGCCCTCGCGGGTTCTCGGGGGGGGCCCAGGAGGTTCCATTATGTCGGGCGTGTCCCCCTACAGGGGGATTTTCGACGAACCATAAAATTACCCCAAAAATACCCCAAAAAGGTCCAAAAAAATCAAAAAAATGGTCCCTGGACTATTTTTGGATTATTTTTTTATTATCTCGGTGGTATTTTTTTCGTCGAAAATCCCCCTGTAGGGGTACAGGCCCGACTTAACGTTCCAGAGGTTGACCGAGGTATTCCGCAACGTCTGCGATCTCGGATGTCCTCAGGCCACATGGTCTTGCCCGGCAGCCCCGCCTCGTTGGAGCACCGTTCTGGGAGTGCCGAGGTCGTCCTCGGCCCACACGATCAGCCCAAGGGGCGGGAAGCTCATATTCAGTGTTCAGTCGGGCCTGTCCCTCTATGGGAGGACTATCCATCAATAGCCAGAAGATAGCGCGGGGGCGATGTGTCATCATCTTTGATTATTCTCGAGTCTTGTTTGACAGTTTTAATCATTCGTCCAAAATCCCCCTGTAGAAGGACATGCCCGGCCTAACCCAAGTGGGCGGGAAGCTCGTACTCGGTGCGAGGGCAAGAGCTCCAGAAGCCGGTGCACCGAGAAAGGCAGGACGTGGGAGGCGTGGGAGTCCTCCTCCTGCCGCCCCCCTCTTGGCGAGCGCGCGCCTCCTCCTCCTCCGCCTCCTCCTCCTCCTCCTCCTCCTCCTCCTCCTCCTCCTCCTCCTCCTCCTCCTCCTCCTCCTCCTCCTCCTCCTCCTCCTCCTCCTCCTCCTCCTTCTCCTCCTCCTCCTCCTCCTCCTCCTCCTCCTTGAGTGCATGTTGAAGCTGGCAGCGATCTGCTGCCAGCACAGGTGACGCAAGCTTGTAGTGCAACGGTGTAATGTGTGCTGTGGCCACCGCCATGATGGCATCGTGCAGGGGTGCTAACATGGACACACCGTCCGTGCGATCAACTCCTGTCCATTAGAGGCTGGTGTCGTCGTTCGCCAGCGCGCACAGTCCGAACGCTGGGTTTCAGGTGGGCATAATGAGCCGGGGCTCATTATGCACCCAGGATGTGTCGACAGGAAGGCCACTGAGGGACGCGAGGATTGCCTCCGCGAACCCTGGCGCCTGAAACACGCACCAACCAGCCAACTTGGTTCGGGTCCACGTGCGCCACGCAGACACGCCTGGCAGCGTACGGCCATTCGCGCCGGCCGGCATGGCGGGAAGCGAGTACTTGTTGCCGCCGCCACCGCCTGAAACTTGCATGCCGGAGAGCTCCCGTGTGATTTCGGCGAGGCTCTCCCCCAATCGTGCACATGTGGAAAGTGTTGGCGTCCAAATTGTTGGGGCTCTGTGGCACGTGTGGTGCGCGGTCTGCTTGCTGCAATGGTACAGCGTCGTGTTTTGGTAGTGTCTGGGTGTGTCCTCCAGTCGGGCACGACGCCACGCCACGACTGTCAGACGGTGAGCCTGGAGCGCATGCAAAGGCAGGACGTTGCACTCTTCGAGGATTGGGCAGGCGATCGTCGTCTGCATCGGAATCGTGATCGAAATCCGGGACCAGAACGTCTGTCCAAAACGACGGCATCGCACGCGCGGGAAGGAAGGGCGGGAAGCGAGGGGCTCATAATCTGGGAGAGGGGAGGAAGAGAAGCATCAGTTGCCGGGATTATTAAGCCACAGTGTGGCAGCACCTTAGTCCCTTCACGCTCCTCCTCATCCTCCTCCTCCTCCGCCCCCTCCTCCTGCCCCTCCTCTTCCTCCTCATTCTCCTCCTACCTCCTACCTCCTACCTCCCGCCTCCTCCTACTCCTCCTCCTCCTAATCCTCATCATCATCATTATCATCATCATCATCATCATCATCATCATCATCATCATCATCATGATCGTCATCATCATCATCCTACCTCCGACCTCCTCCCCCCTCAAACTACTACTACTGCCACCACCACGGCCACCACTACTACTACTACTACTACTACTACTACTACTACTACTACTACTACTACTACTAGCATTACTACTACTACTACTACTACTACTACTACTACTACTACTACTACTACTACTAC